CGTTTTCATAAAAAACTTAAATAACTAAAGACACGTATTTCGTAATGTTACTTAAAATAAGAGAAAATTTAGTAGTCGGCTATGAAATTGTACGTCAAACTTGACAAATAGGTTATAAAGTTATTTGACGACAAGGTTTTCTCCATCTTTTCTCCATCACCTTTCATTCTTGAGTTATGATCGATTTTAACACCAAAAGTACCCAATTTTGACATTTTGGGGATTTTCTCTTTATCACCTGAAAATCATTACATCTAAACTAAATTTGTTTATGGATGATGTCTTCTTAGTTGACAATAAACAACTTATTCCTAAAAAACTTTTCTCCATCACCTTTCATCCTTGAGTTATGATCAATTTTAATACCAAAAGTACTCAATTTTGATATTTCGGTGATTTTCTCTTTTTATCATTAGAAAATCATTATAACTAAACCAAATCTGTTTATGAGTAATGTCCTTTTAGTTCATAATAAACAATTTATTTCAAATAAACTTTTCTCCATCACCTTTAATTTTTGAGTTATGATCTATTTTAATACCAAAAGTACTCAATTTTGACATTTTGGTGATTTTTTCTTTATCACTAGAAAATCATTATAACTAAACCAAATCTGTTTATGGATGATGTCTTTTTAGTTCATAATAAACAATTAATTTCAAAAAAACTTATCTCCATCACAATTAATTTTTGAGTAATGATCGATTTTGATAACAAAAGTACTCAATTTTGACATTATGGGGATTTTCTCTTTATCACTAGAAAATCATTACATCTAAACAAAATCAACAGATTTGATAAACATATCAATAATATCTTTTTAGTTCATAATAAACAATTTATTCCTAAAAAACTTTTCGTCATCATCTTTCATTCTTGAGTTATGATCGATTTTAAAACCAAAAGTACTTAATTTTGACATTTTGGGGATTTTCTCTTTATCACTAGAAAATTATTATGCCTAAACTAAATTGGTTTATGGATGATGTCTTTTTAGCTCATAATAAACAGTTTATTTCTCAAATTACGTACAATTTCACAGCCGACAACTGAATTTTCGATGATTTTAAGTAGCATTAACAAGATATACGTCTTTAGTTTTTTATTTTTTTATGAAAACGGCAATGTTTTTTAAAAAATAGTAAGAGTAAAAAAAGTTTTAGAATTAAATTCCACATGAAATGAGGTAATAATGTATTAAATCCACAAAAAGGTTAAAAAAATCTGCCAAAATTTAGGGAACCATCACCCTTAATCAACTCTTTGAAATGTCTCAATTGGTCTCAACTTGCTACCAATTAACACCCTCGGTACACTCATAACGTATACCAAATTTGGTTTTTCTAGCTTAATGTATTACGAAGATATTCATTGTTTTAAAAATTTAAGACCCAACTTTGAAGGCCTATAACTCCTCAGGGGTACAACTTGGTATAGAGATAAGTTGCGTTAAATCATCTTAATTTATTGTCCTCTACATGTCCCTGCTCTGTGTCGGTTCTTATGTGAATCACCCTGTATGTTACCGTCAATCTGTATAATTCAGATACTCTATACAATGCCTAGGTAATGTATAAAATACCTGAGGTGTATTTCTGCAATGTATGAAATATTATGAAGATTATTGTTCCTTAGATACTTTACCTAGGTAATGTATACAATTCTTAGGGATTACATAGAGTACTTGTTGGTCGACGGGCAATGTGTAAAATAAATAGATTTTGGTCTGTATTTATCAATTTTTACACATAATAAACTTTTTTATAATCTATAAGTTATTGTACAAAGAAAGGCACCTAGTACCTTTCTGTGACTATAGTAAAATCAAAAGCTAAAAAAAAAAAAAACCACTTTAGCTTTAGCTTAAGTGGTTTTAAGCTTGTTCATAGTGATATCTCAATTTGTTCGGAAGTTAAACAAATTGTACGAATTGTATTATGAAAAAATATTATACATGCAGCAATTCATTGTACACCTATCCCCCGATTTACACGGTTTTCCAAATAAGTTTTTTTTTGTTTTTATCGCACTCTACTAAATGCTACTGTGATTGAACACGTGCGCTGTGTACACATCTCACGGGGAATCCCGAGCTTATGTGCTGACTTAAAATATATTACATATTTTAACCTGTCAATGCATTTTATTTTTATTTCTGTGTACACCTAAAAATATTGAAAAAAATCACAACTGTTAAATAGCAAAATTATGCATTTTCTGCAAGCTTTTCGATTTACACGGTTTTGAGTTGAAAATTTTTAATTTTCGATTTACACGTTTTTCTCAGGAACGTATCTACCGTGTAAATCAGGGGATATGTGTATTATATTCATTATATTTGCATGCTTCAGTACAATCTCGTCTCGCTGTCACTAACGTGTTAAATATTATATTACCTTATAGTATATTTTTAGTGCATAGTACAATCCATTTCTCTCAGTGTAGACATGGCGTGTAGGATATATATCCTTCACATCATTTAGCATTCTGCAAATCATGCGCATAGATCTGTTGCGCAAGAGATAGAAACCGTTAGCCTTTTCTATATCACCAAATAAAAGCGGAACATGCTCTTTAAAAACGTAGAGTTCCTGGCAGAATTCAATGGCACTTAAATCTCTCTTGTATTTTCGAGCCAGATCTGCTCCATACTTTTTCAGTTTTTCAAAATATTAGTACCATTAAGAAAAGCAAAATTCAAATTCAGCATCAAACCTCTTTATAATTTCTGATATGATGCGGTCAAATACCATCATTATTTCTTTAGAAAATAGTTGAACAGGTTGTAGTGTTTGTAATTCCCCTTCACACATTTCATTGAAATGTTTTTACGTTTCAGAATTCGTTTGTTTTGCAAAATAGGGTCAACACCACTTTTTTCAGCAACTTCTCCAGCCTCTTTTATTCAATATTCCATTTGATTTTGTCTCATTTTTTGTAAAGTTTTGAGTAGACCATCCATTAGTGCGAGGGAACGGGCAAGGATAATATCTTCTTTCTGAATTTATATATTCACTCGATTGATTTCGCGGAGAATATTCGCCCAAATAGTTAAATTAAGAATAAATTTAAAATCCTTTATAGCAGTTAAGAGATGACCTGCCTCGTATTTAGCTTCTGGAGCATGAGAAGTTTGCTTAACTTCTTCTAAGGCTTCCGCTATTTCTGGAAAATTATTTAATAGGGCATTCACAGCAACATGTTTTGCCGAACATCTCGTCTGACTACTTCCTTTTAAATTAAATTTGTTTTAACGTATTTTTTCATAATGTCCCAGCTAGTAGTGGAACCAACAAAAAAGCAATATACTTTTTGAATCAGCCCAAATAGGTTAATAGCTTCCTGGCATGATGAGGCAGAATGAACACCTACAAAATTTAAGGAGTGAGCCAAGCATGGTACGAACTCGGCCAGCTCATTCCTTTATGGATGCCGGCCATATTGGACCCATTATCATAAGATTGGCCACGACATTATCCAATATCTAAATCATCAACTGCCAATTTTTCTAAAATCTGTTGACAAATGTCCTCTCCTATCTTTCCAGCAATTTCTATGAAATCAATGAAACTTTCTTTTATTCCACACACATCGCCAGTTCATTTTACATATCGAATTACCTGGCTCGTTTGTTCTGTATGGGATACATCTGGAGTGCAGTCGAACATTATCGTGTAGTATTTGGCTTCTTTGATGTCATTTAAAATACTATTTCTAACTGTTTTTGCCATTATGTTAATCATTTCATTCTGTATTGTCTTTGATAAATATGATACTTGTGCCTTTTTTATGTGTTTTAATTGAAACTTAAGAGTTGAATTATGTTTGGCGAGCAGGGAAATTAAGTTCAAGAAGTTACCTTGACTAGGCTGAGGACATTGTGTGATGAGATCGCTAGGAGTTTCGTGGGACCCGCGAAAAGAAAGGCAGTTTGTGGTTAGATACAATACAGCATCCATAACAATACGCAGGATCTGTCTCCATTTTGCTTTCTCTGAGTGAATTACTATCTTAATGTCTTGATCAATGCCCTGGCATGATTTCATTTGTTGTACCCGTGTTTTCCACTTGATCATACACTGTTTGGGCATTTGAGTTGCCTCGTGTTCGGTTAATCTCGCTGAAACTTTTTTAATAATATTTCATATATTACGTAAACGTCTTAGGTATTCTATAAATTGCCTACGTATTGTATAGAATATCGGATTATACAGATTGCCGGTAACATATACAAGCTGTTTCATAATATATGACGAACATTTTGAGGTATTGATGGCATAAATCGGACTCTCCGTTATTTTGCTGCAGCCTAAGTGATCTTTAAGTGATAAAAAAAATTGGAAAAGTGCCAAAAAAATTGATTTTGTTGAGTTGTTTTAGGCTGTAGCAAAATAACGAAGAGTCTCATTTATGCCATCAATACCTCAAAATCTTCGTCTGGATCTCTACTTTCATCTCCATATAGCTACAGAAGCACACTATGGAAAATAAAAAATATACTGAACATGAACCGTTACTATGTTTTTTAATTTACGATTTTCCACATTTTTGGGTATATCTCAAAAACTGGAAATATCGAAGTCTTGAAAAAAATTGATTAAAATTTGTAAATTAGTGTAATTATAAAATTGATGAAAAGTTGTTGGGTAAGAATCATATTCTGCATGTTGTGGTTTAAGTGTAAGAAAATAAATGTTTTTTATTTGCGTAAAAGTAATTATAGTAACGTTTAATTTTGTAATTCGTTGTTTCTTTAGGTAAGAAATTTATTAAAGCCTGATGATGGGAATAGTTCCAGAAACGTGGACTTATTTGTAATGGTTTAGAAATAAACATTTTAAAGGAGAAAATTGGTATATACAACTATAAACATACAAGAAATTATAGGTTAGTTAAGTTTAAAAAGTAGAATCTTGAAATACATATGGTGTTGGTCCTTAGATACTCAGGATGATTGGAAATGAAATAGTAGATTACAAAAAATAGAAACTGTAGCAAGCTAGGTATTTCAAATCTTCATTAATAAATGCCATTATTATTTATTAATCAAATTAAAAGTCATTACAAGGTGAAATTACAAAAACAAATTTTTTTACATTACATGCATTATTTATTAAATGCATTTCTTCATCTACATATTATTATGTCCATTTTATGCTTCCTTTGGTTTCGGTTGGTAAGTCAATACAATACCAGCCTTAGGAGATATTTTCACTGCATCAGCCTTAATCTTCATACTAAAAAATATTATTATAAAATTACAGTTAAAAAAAAAGTCTTAAATAATTACGGTGACTTGACGTCGGTAACATTATAATTACTACTAATCAAGTCTACAGTCACTTCATCCGAAACGACCCCATTTGTATCTTTGGGGAAGTTAACAGTGACTTCTTCTAATGATGGATTTATCGCTACGAGATATCCTGGACTACCAGAAATAACTCTACAAAAAGAAACGGATTTTAATATTAAAAAATGTTAATTTATAATAATTAAAAACAACAATTTTTTTTCCTTACTTTCTATCTTTTCTACATCCAAAAGAAGGCATTAATATGAATGTATAATGAGTTTTTGTTATAACATTTCCAATTAAATTATTTTACTTACCTAATAAATGCATAAACACTTTGATTTGCAACCAAAAATTGGTCCAGTGTACCATGTGTTAAAGACGGCACCGTCCTTCGCTTCAATAATTCTTTATTAACGGTATAATTAAATGGAATTAAAGTGCTTCCTTTAAACATAAACGTCATCATATCAATAACATCAGGATCTAATCCCGTATTATTTTTAACTTTCCACAACGGCCATTTATTCCTTAATAAACTCATAGTTAGATTCATATCTCTATACAACTGGGAAGCTGATACAATTGGATGAGTAAAAACATGCGAATTACTAGGTAAATCCACAGTAACGCTTCCGTTAAATATATACGGATCTAAACTCGTTATATCTTCGGAAATCATTAATAAACCGTCTTCGGTTTTGTTTTTAATTGCAGATTTCCATTCGTTAAGCGTCACTCCCAAATCGTTTAAATTCATCGTTTTGTCGTGATTGTAAAAGTTATACTGCCCAATTGTAAAGTTGCCCATAGAATCGCCCATCACTTCATCTTTTAACTTCTCGTCCACAAACATATACGGCGCTTTATTTATACGAATTCCTTTAACGCCAGCGTCTAAGAAACCGTTTAATATTTTTGAAAATTCTTTTTTAACCTCTGGATTGCGAAGATTTAATTGTGGTTTTCCAAATGGAGCCAAATAGTATTGTTGGCGACTCGAAGAATAAACCCACGCTGTAGAATCGTTTGGATTGAGCTACAAATGAGTCGATTAATTCTGTAAAAATTAAAAAAATTAGGTTAATTACCCAATTATTTGGTGGAGATGATGATCCATTTTCGAGAGGACCTTTAGGATTCTCCCAGTAATAATAATTCAAGTAAGCGTCAGCTTTGGATTCGGAATCATTAAAGAATCGCATTGAATGAGCCGGTTCTAAACCTACTATAACCGGAAGTTCGACAGATTGAGCTTTTTTAATTAAATCGCCGAATTCTTGTGAATCTTGAACGCCTTGATAAGTGTCTAAAGGCCAATCGGCTATTACACCTTTCACGCCAGATTCTTTAAGGAGTTTCAAATCATCTTCAGTTATTTTGGTTGGATCAATTTCAGTTAAAGGTCCTTGTTCGTACCTTAACCAAAAGACGTATTAATTCTTTTTGTTTTTATTTTAAAGCTAACTTACCAAGTTCTAGGTTCGGGTCTAGGACATTTCGGTGCCCCAATAATAATCACAATGGCCCCAACTAACATCGAAGCCCATAACAACCAAAAAAGAATGAACAAAGTCCAACGTAGTCGCACCCAAAACGGATCGTTGGCATATTTCATGAGTTCCTCCTTGCCCATTCCAACAAAAGTGGATTTAAGCTCACCTGTAGGTTCAGGAGAAGACATGTTAACCAGTTGATTTTTTTTGTAAAACTAACGTGTTATAAAATTTCGTTTCGTTGGCAAAGTGGTGCACTAGGCAATTATCGTCGAGTTGCAAATTAGGAAAGTGTCTGATTGCGCGTGTATCACGAATTTCACTGTTAATCGCTAATCGGTTTTGAACGAATCGAACAATGAAATATATACGGTGCAGTAGTGTGCGTGTGTGTTCAAAAGAAGTAGATATAGGTGGGAAATATGCGGGTCATAAAATGTTTAGTGGATTATTCAGTTTCTTAGTACGAATTAAACGGTTTAATTTATATTCGAATTGGTTTAGTGAAGTTTTTTTGCTGCAATAAAATTGTTTTTATAACCAAGTAAGTAAAACTCAGAAATTTTCATTTTATTATTTCATCTGGATATGAATGTATTTGAAACTCAGGTAATTAAACTAAACAATAACATATTTTTAGAGTATTTGTGTTTTGATCCCCTTTTAACACCATTATGTGTGTTAATGAATGTGTAAATGACAGTCGTACTTTGAAGCCTAAAATCAGTCCTAGATGTAAAAGAACATCGTGGTTTTGTAAATTAGATAAAACGAGTACAGGTTGATTTGAACATTAAAACAATTAGAATAGAAATTGGAAGAAAAAAAAATAGTATGATAAAGGGAAAACATGAAATCGTATAACGTGGTTTCCTGATGATGGCATTAATACGCCGAAACCGGTAGAAACTGAAAAACATAAACAAAATCTTTCATCGTTAAAGTACAGCTGTCATTTACTTATTCATTATACTTTTAGAGATTTATAAAGGTGTTTATATAATAAGGTGATTTTATTTCTTAATTGCATTGGAAATTTGGTGAAGATTAAGATTAATTATTACTAACTCTTTCTACATCTTTTATATCCCATATGTCCTGTACCTAGCATTAATAGTTTGGAAGATAATTAGGGTTTTTTGAAAAATGCACACGTATTATAGCGATATTTAACCTAGTGTGCCATGGAAAACAAATGTTTAATGAGTTATTGACAAACGACAAAGTCTGATTTATGTTATTTCACGCTTGTGAAACTTTTTGAAAAAAGTTGTATGGACGGACGAATCTAAAATCTTGAAAAAAGACAAATACAAATATGTAAAAATATACAGGTGTTCCGTTTAAAAAAATAAAGTAGGTGGCGGCTTCCGGTATAACCGGAATTGCTAGAAATCTGAAAATATTTTAGTCGAAGAGAACGCAACTGATTATACTTAAATCTGAATTCTCAAATTGTTATTTTGGTCAGAACCCCAGAAACGGTAAAAAACGGTCTCGCTGAGACACCCTGTATACTATCTCCTATATAGACAACCTAAGCCTTGACGTCACAGAGATGGGCGGAGCTTATACTGACTCCAAACATTTTCGTTGCTAACTGTAAATCGCCAAAAAATGTCATTTGAAATGTCATCACTTAGTTTATTTTATTTTAACACTAATTGAAAAATTGCATATGGGAATTTATCGTTAGCAACACAGTTGGCAACGAAGATGTTTGGAGTCGGTATAAGCTCCGCCCATCTCTGTGACGTCAACACTTAGGTTGTCTATTAGAGGAGTGCGTTTGTATCAAACGGAGACGGAATTATGCAGGGTGTGTCAAATGTCTGGAATATACCCAATAACTTCGCCATTTATGGTTTTAAAGAAAAATTTTTGAAATACAAGTTTCTTTATTAATCATGGCGCATTTTTTGGCGATATTTGCTTGTTTGTGTTGTTTTTCGTTTCGTTGCTATGGCAACCAACATTGTTATTTTAAATGGAATATATGTTTTTTTTTGCATATTTTGATAGAGGGTAAGTCCCTCTATGCGAGGAACATATCAAATCATATGGTTGTATGAGAAAAAAATCGAGAAAAAAATGCGTTTTTAGAAAGTCTTAAATCAGCTAATTACAATCAAAGTAGACGCCGAAATAACGCCGTTAAAAGCTTGAAATGTCAAAAAAATTACAGTTTCAACAATTATGAATAATTAATAATGTATGGTACCAATGACATGTCTTCGGCCATTAACTTTATGGAAGGTTTTTAACGCTTCCGGTGTTAAAATTTTTTTTAATATTTTGGTTACCGTGGATTGTGTAATTTGTGTATCCGGGCAAATATTATTGAACAGTGTACAAACTTCACTTCGAGTGCGTTTTCTACCACCTACACCGTACCCATACATTATTAATGTTTGGATTCTTTGTTGTTCGCTTAATTGCGCCATACTTGTTTAAACTGTAAATTTTTTGACATTTACAGCTTTTTTTCTCGATTTTTTTCTAATACAACCATATGATTTGATATGTTCATCGCGTACAGGGATTTATCTTCTATTAAAATGTGCAAAAAAAACATATGCATCCCATTTAAAATAACAATGTTGGTTGCCATAGCAACGAAACAAAGAACAATGTAAACAAGCAAGTATCGCAAAGAAATGCGCCACAACTAATAAAGAATTTTTTGTTTGAAACATTTTTCTATAAAACCACAAATGGCGAAGTTATTGGCTATATTCCAGACATTTGACACACCATGTATATTGTCTATCTTTGTTGTGTATAATGTCGCGAAAGTGATTGCGCGAATTGTAAATTTTAAAGAGTTTGAAGTAGTGGTGAAACGGATATCCGGCCATTTTTTAAAATCCGGCCGGATACCGGATAGTAACCAAATATCCGATTTTGGCCAGATATTAAAAATCTATTACTTAGTACTCCACCATTCACAGGAATTAGTAGCTCTTTTAGGTTTTGGACACTGCAGATAATAATATTAATAATCAAGTTCAATCCCAATAGGACTTTTTTCATTGAATACAACTTTATTTATATCAGGTTTGTCATTAGCAATCTCATTGTAACAATCCCAATATGATATACAGCGTGTCCGTAAAGTAACGGATATAGGCGATAAAATCATTATAAACGGTTAATGAAAAAATCCCTGAAACGGGTCTAAAGATTTAAATTTTTTGCAATTATTTGGTGTAGATTTTAAATTTCTTCCGCCATTTTTAACCGAGTTATGACGTCATCGGAATTTTTTCCAAATGGCAAACCCCTTAATATTCAGTCAATATTAATATTGGTTACATAAGAAAATTTTCGAGAAAAATTACTTTAAAGTTTAATAACTTCAGATTTGATGACATGATGAAAATACCAGTAGCCATGAGTAACTATGGTAACCAATTATTTTAAACAATTGAGTGTCAAAAACTGATTTAGTAAAGCTTCTTGAAGTGTGGTGGCGCGCCATCTTGTTGGAATAACTGCCGTTGGAACCGTTTATTATGATTTTATCGCCTATATCCGTTACTTTACGGACACACTTTATTAAATCTCTTGTTGCAGTTTCATTTAGTTTTCTTCTCTTCGCTTGTAATTCATCATCACATTCATTACTGACAAACATCCTTGTGGGTATCACCAATTATTAATTAAAGTATCCTCTTTTTAACGCAAATAGCCGATTTGAAAAATCAGTTTCAGTGCTTGAGAAATAAATTTTTAAAATGATCGATAATTTTTTCGAATTTTGCAATTTTCGCCGATTAAGTTTTAAAAATTCGTATAAAATCCATTTCTTGGAATATGAGTATGAAAATTTCCCAAAATCTTAATAAGTGTCCTCTTTCCAATCAACAAACCCGTTTTAAAAAATAGTTTTTAGTTTTTGTGAAAACAATATTTGAACCACAACTACATCATTTCTAAAAACGAAAAAATAATTTGCCTGTTAAAGGGTTAATTATAAATTATCATTGATGCATCAAATAAATTAGAATATATGTACTTTTGTGTGAAATTGAGTTTGAATATTGCTTTAAATTTCAACTTTATCTAGGTTGTTCATTAATCATTATATTCTTTAAAAATTAAATTAATACATACATAGTAACTACTAAATATGTGTACCAAAATATAGTTATTAATTTTTAACATAATTTATAAGCTCACGATATTTAACAAATCATTACATTAATCAAAGATATAATAAAATTCGTAAAATATGTACTTAGGTGCTTTCTTAACACGTAATAATTACATTTTAAATTGCTTAGTCCTAAAATATGTTAATAATTATTTATTCCAATAACAAGTCCAATAAGATAATAGCGTGCTCACCACGTGCTCACGCATGCCTCTTGGGTAGAACTTACATAACAGAGACAAACATATACAGGTCGCTTATATGTATGGAAACGGTCGATTATCTCCTAAAGTAACACAGCTAGCGAAATATGTTAAGGTACAAAAGTTTTAGTGTTTTTTAAAGTCTATTACAATAAAGATAAATTAAGTGTCAGGCAGGGTCAGGCAAAAAGTTATGACAAAACTAAGTTACGTTTTATTTAATGGAACACCTGTATATTATTCCATATTTCGGTTCATCTCAAAATTCTAAACAAAATTCATAATTCATCAAGTTCCTTTTGAGAGTTTTTCATCTCTATAACAACACAGTAACATAATATATGTCAAAAATACAAAAAATAGTTTGAATAATTTGCACCCAAAGATCAATTACGTCACTAATTAGATAAATTCGTAAATTTTTAAAAGCTGGATATCTGGAAGATGGTTAAGTTTTGAATGAATTTTGTTTATAATTTCGAGATAAAGCGAAATATGGAATAATATACAGGTGTTCCATTAAAGAAAACGTAATTTTGTTTCGTAATAACTTTTTGACTGACCCTGTATAGTAAATTTGTTTTTATTGTAAAAGATTTTAAAAAATACTGTATCTTAACATTTTTTGCTTGCTATCTTACTTTAGGAGATAACTGGCTGTTTCCATACATATCAGCGACTCTGTATATCTAGTCTTGACACTCTTTTGCTGTCATAATCAGTGATATAGTTTTCACTCAAAATTAAGCACAACATTTAACTTCAACTTTCAAAAATCTCAAAAATATGTAATCGCTGCAGATAACGCATTTTATCAGAGAACTACTTCTTGAGTGTGCAAAGTGGTTGGAACTCCATCATCACTCAAATAACCCATCAAGATTTTTCAAGTAGCTAACACCATTAAGTCAAGAATTCAATAATTTTAACCTAAATGTAGATGCAAGTTTTAATAAAATGTTTGAAGTTAGTAAAACATGAACAGAACAAGAAATATTAAAGAATCAAAATAAAGATCAACAACTTTGTTCAAAGAAAAATGTAATTATGGATAATAAGGAGTAATTAAAACACCAAAGTAAATAAATGCTTTGCAATATTTGCCTGCATTTAAGGAAAAATGTTTATTTAGATAAATATCTAAAGTATTGTCCTGAAATGATTTAAAATTAATTTAATCTTATTTAAAGCTAAAAGGATTGGAACAAAAAACTGAGTGATCCTGGATATTTTTATAACTAAGCATTTATACTGGTACTATAAGATAAAAATATAACAAAGAGATCAAAATAAAGATATTTTTATCTTTAGCTTCATAAGCAAAACTTATCCTTTTGTGTTTTTTAAGCAATTTATTTCCATTAATTTAATATTTAGATCCAAAAGACAATAAATCAAAATCTTGCTTAACTATCGATTTTATAATAGGCTTTGTAATTTATTAATCCCATCAAGTACTAATTTTAGATAACATTTTAAAAGATAGTAATAATCTCTTGATAACAACTTTAATTGTCCTACAAAGACTTCTTGTATCTAGGTCATTCTGATGCAATAGGTTCACACAATTATCTCATTCAACACTAATTTAATAATAAGAATTTTGATAAAGATAATAAAAAAAATTCTTACCAATATCTAATTTAGCATCCCCATTCTGTTTTTCTTTGTTTGTAAATTTAACATCTCCAGCTGTGACGTTGGGGGATATTTTCTCTTCATCAGGAAGCATCTTTTCATCAGCACCGTCTGCCTCTGAAGTACTGTTATGGCTCTTGACCACATTCTTGGCGAGAGGTTCTCGATCTGAAGAAGCAGGTTTCATGGGGTAAATTCGTTTTGTACGTTTTTGTAGACGGAGAAAGGGGAATGTAATAACCAACTCTTACCATCTACGTCTTCTTCTGGTATCTGTTTATAAGTTGCCGTGGGGATCGGATCGTCGTCCTTCTTACCAGCTATGTCCAGTTTATGGCTATCCATTATGGAAATTATTGAATACTGGGTGTGTCTCTGGACCAGATCTCTGCACGTGTAACGATTTTTATGTTAACTCGATGAATTCCGAAGGCTGTTCTGTTGCCCAATTGCGTTTTGCGTTTGCGTCAGTTAGAAATAAAAGGATAGCCAACAACCAAAATAAAAATAATTTTATAAATTTATAAACAAACTAATCTTTTTAAATTTTTGAAAACTTTTCATCTAATTATAGTAGTGTTCATAAAAAATTAATTTGTATTAAATTTAATTTAAAAATAAAACGTAAATTGTAAATTAAAATATAGAAAGCTGGTGTACTTTTGGTTGCATACCCAAAAGTGAATTTCTGCTTATTTCAAACTATCGTTGCCATAGAAACGTTTTAAATTCAATGTATACAAGAAATTGTCAAAATGTTTGCCTCAAATGTGATTATAAATGATGGTGATTTTACAAAAACTATCTATACAATGGTCTGTATTTATTTATAATTAATATAATTTTGTTTAAAAATAATTGTAAATTAATCAGATTAAAGAAAACCACTATGCTGATGCGATTAAGGTATTACATGGAATACCTGAATCTAACTCATCTCGAGCTGGGTTAAGTCTTTTAGCTTATTGCTATTTTTACACACAAGACTTTTCAAATGCTGCTACATATTATGAACAATTAGTACAAATGATGCCCGAAAACAACGACTACAAACTATTTCATGCTCAATCTTTGTATCAAGTGTGTCTATATGATGAAGCTTTTAAGGTTACCGAAAGCATTTCTGATGAAGATTACAGGCAAAAGGTATTATATTTAATTTAATGATGAAGTTACAATGAAACGTTTAATTAATAATTGTTTATTTAAGGTAACTAAATTACAAGCTGCTATTAAATATGGCCAAGAAGATAATATTTCTGCTAGAAATTTAGTTGAAAGTTGTTCTCCTGAAGATCCTGATACAGAAGTTAACTTAGGATGTTTACTATACAAAGTAACTTGATTTTTTTTATAAGACGTTTCACAACAATTGCATAATGCTAAACAATATCAATTAAGAGTCAATTATTATACTACAATCCTTTATAAATAATTTGCTATAATTTCTGTTACACATTTCTCAGTTTTTTCGAATTTCTACTTTGGACCGTTAGCGTCTCATATAGCATAGCCCCAAATAAAGGTGTCCTGTAAATCGCATCATCTTGGCGATTTTTTTGAAGGTTTATAATGTGTAGAATAAGCTTAATAGCTGACCTACAAACGTTTTTCATTTATCTAAAAAAGAATTAAAGAGTGTCGTTTATGTTAGCTATAAGTTACTTAATTATGCGAAGTTGTATCAATCAAAAAGGATTTTAGGGCCAGTCTTGTACATTATAATCGACTGCAAAAACGTTGTGTTTACGGTAATCGCCATACGCTACATAAAGAATCAAATTTTGCTAGCACGTCAGGTACTAAGTTGATAAAAAATGAAGGTGCGACGGTTCCTGTTTCATATCAATTTGCCTATTACATTTTAAACATTTGTTCAGTTTTTACGACACTTTGAGGGTATAAAGTGTAGAATTTGTGATAATGACATTACTTAGAAGCAAAGTGCTACGTGTGGTTTGGGGTTTTACGTCAGTGCGGTTTGATGAACATGTGTCCACTAATAAAGGGTTTGAAATTAATCGACCACTTGTATTTGTAATGAGACTTTTGGAAATCGACAGAGAAGAGCAACTTGTTTTGTGGACTAATGAACATAGGTAAAGGTTTAGCGATCAATACTTATGATAGTTGTCTCAAAAATGTGTACACTTCTATGAGGAAGTTGTAAGAAGAGCAGTTGGAGAAGAAAAGGAAGAAAATGGCAATACAGAGAACAACCTTATTGTTTTGGGTGACTGTGCGTGGAAAAAATGAGGTTTTATCTCGCTTTCGGTGTCATTAGTTTAATAAGAAAGTATAGCAATAAAGTTGCTGATATTATGATAAAATCCTTGTTTTGTCAAGCCAAAAAAAATTGGACGTAATAGCGCAGAATTGGTTTGAAAGCCACGATGAAAATTGTACTGCAAATCATAAAGGAAGTACAGCAAAAATGGAAACTGATGGAATTGCTGAAATGGTAGTAAACATTTCATCAGTTAAAAAGCATGGGATGAAATATTGTAAATATATCAGGGACGGACAGTACCACTTTTAAAGAACTTTTAAATATTGACCCATATCCTATCGCACAAAAAAAAGAATGTGAACTTACAAAATATGGTTTAACCATAAAAAGAAATTCTATTTCTGTCGAGAATATGGAGAAAGAAGTGTGACACCACGTTCGACTAATCACAAAACGAACGACAAACCGCAGCATTCTTTTCATTATGACAAGTCGCCGTTAAAGGATATAGTTCTTGACGTTATAAAGCCAATTTATAATTTGCCATCAATAAGTTTCTTATAAAGATGCCTAGGAGCAGGTACCCACTCAAAGCAACAACGAGTCACTAAATTCTCTTATTTGAACTTTTGCTCCAAAGCACGTGCATTCTGGTGTCCAGACTGTAGAAATTACAACTTTTTTAGCGATTTCAATTTTTAACGACTATTTCTCACTCATTTTATCCATCATAGATACTATGGGCGTTACAATCAGGACTCAAGTCGCATCTTACGCTGTAGTTGAGATGAGAACGCATCAATCGATCTGAACAATGTGTGTCCGATGCTGCCAAGGACGTCAGAATTTCCAGTAGTGAAGAACTGGCGACTTGGCAAGATTTCTTCGAAAAAGGAGGAAGGATATTCTATGGACCAGGCTTAGCAGAATAATAGTAAGCACAATGATCTTGATGTGCTACGGTTTTAAATCGTTAAACGCGATTTTCTCAAAACTATGTTGTTAAGATTGGTTGATATGTTTTCTTAGAAACTAATGAACCAACCACTTTGCACACATTTTCTGGGGATGTGTATCTACAGCCTGAACTAGAATTCTATTAAAATTCTTACATTTGTAAAAGTTTCATAAAAGTGGTATGTAACTGCAATTATAGACTAAAATAACAATTATTAACAATAATTTGTTGCCTCTAGTGGATTACAATACATAATACACATAACATTAATAACAATAATAACTCAGCCTCTCCGTGCCTCACTACGTCTCCTCGCTATCACCAGTTTCCCTACCCATCTCCTCCCCTTTGTCTCTTCCTCCAGCATCTGCTTCCAGTAAATCACCTCCTCTTCACAGTCTACAACCCTTTCTTCACCCTCCATCTAATATCTATTGACATCTTCGCTACCACACCTAAACTTAGTCTTAATCTTGAGATTCCCATTCAAATCTTTCTACCTAAAATACCTTTCCAGAGACCGCGTCATTGCCCTCATCTCACTCACTTCCCTCGCAATCACTGCCAAGACGTCGGCATACGCCGGTAGTAAACGACTAATCACCTAAACGCGGTGATTAGTCGTTTAAGCATGATTTATTCAGGTGTGAGTCATTACTAATAAGTGTTGTGTGATACAGTTCTTTGTTATTTAAAAATAATGATGAACAATGTGGTATTAGCTGCAATGGCATTACTCGAAGAGGAAGGCGAACAAACTTTATTAATCGATGATTTATAAACCACGACGCCAAACTAAAAAAATTTTTCTGAATAAGCTAAGTGAGAGATGTTTCACTACATTGATTCAAAGGCATTTAATGGATGATGATACTAAATTTAAAGAATATTTTAGCCTTACCAAGAGCCAGTTTTTCAATGTACTGTCATGTACATATATCCGAAGAAATAATAACAATGTCCTCTACATATTGCACCTTGTCAGAAACTTGCTCTGACCCTGAGGTAAGTTTACGTACTTTATTAATTTCAGCAACTATAGATAATAACAATTTATAACAAAGTATGTTCGTAAATATAAAGGTACCGTTTTTTCCAGATTGTAGAATATCTCATAACCATATAAGTAAAATCATCAAAGAAGTTTTGAAAGCACAGCGTGACAAGTTGCTCCCGATTTATTCACCAAAGCTTACAAACGCACATTTGAAACAAATATCTGACGCTAGATGAAGTTTTCCAAATTGTTGTGGAGCAATTGATGGAAAACATATTCGCATAGTTTGCCAGAAAGAAAGTGGAAGCCTATACTTCAATTATAAAACCTATTTTTCTATTGTCTTATTGGAAATATTTGATGATGGGTACAAATTCACATGGGTTGATGTTGGTGTTGATAATAAATAAGGAGATAGTGGAATATTTTAAAGGCCTTCTATTTACCAACTCGTATACAGTAACAACTTCTTACCAGAGCCAACCGAATACTGTTCTAACTTTGGTTCTAACTCATATTATTGTCGGGGACGAAGTATTTAAACTAACTGAAAATGTTTTACGACCTTACCCTATAAATCAGTGGTGTCCACTAATTTTTGATGAAGATCGACTTATTTCAGATTCCAGATTTTGTTTGGAGACGTTATGGATACCACTGCTATAGATCAAGCTAAGGCAGACAGGGAAAAAAATATTTAATTATCGTCTGAGTCGAGCTCGAAGAACCTCGGAAAATGCCTTTTGCATTTATTGTCAAACTTTTTGTGTATTTTATAAAATTATTGCAACGTGCCAGACACTCGTAGATTACATCATTATGGTTTCGTGTTGTTTTCACAATTTACTCAGAGGTTCACGTACAGTTAATCAAGAAGAAGATGATATTGACGTTGGAATAATCAGCGAAAATACGATACCTTTACATCACATAGGTGGGAACGCCTCACCAGCAGTTGAAATGCTGCTGGTGAACAGAAATGCTTTTAAAGACTATTTCAATAGTAGAATGAGAACTGTTGGTTGACAGATGAGGCATATTACTAGAACTGGTATTCAGTAACGTTTATTAATAAAAGTAATACAAACAAATACAAGCGTAATTGTCTTTACGAGAAAATTTTACTGCTGAATAAATCAGTCTGCGTACTGTTTAGGCTGCTCAATGGAACTTGGTGCCGCGTAACACGAGTCTGTATAAGCTTTGCTGTAGAATCAGAGACTCGTCTTGTAGAGGCATACGATGACGTATAACTCAAAGATGTAGTAGGGACAGACACTCGACTTAGGGACTCATACGATGACATAAAACTCATTCCAAAACTTTCCATCTCCAATTCATTGAATTCTTTCCATCAATACGTCTACTCGCATTTTAGCAGGAGCAGCTAACGCTGCCATACTCGCAAAAAATAGTTTTATTGGATGAGATACACACAATTTCAGGTATGGTGATTAACAAAATGCGCACGTTTAAGTTGCTTACGAAGGAAGTCGAAAAAGAAAATAGTATCTTCGCGTATATCTTGTAATTCTCGTACGTTGTATTCAGTAAGCTGACACCTCTATAACTCTCGACTATCGCTTTTCTTATCTTTTTGTACAAGGGACTTATTATCGCCTTCCTTCACCCTTCTCCTCTCTACACCTTCCTCAACGCCATCAACAACCTCTCTCGTTGCCTCCAATTATGCCTTATTCTGGACCCCATCTTCTCTGGGTGCTCTTCTTCAATCCCCACGTTCTACCTCATGGTTATTTCACTGATAACTTCGTCTCTCCTCTTTCTTAAATTATTTATATAAGATAATAATAGATATAGCTAATTATCTATGAATAAAGCAAATAGAAGTGGACCCATGTTAGAGCCCTAAGTCAAATGTAAGAGTCATCACAGCACCATTAGAATCGATTTGAATTAGACTTCTGCAATTGTTGTTTTACTTTTGTTCACTTTCAAGTCCATTTATTTATATATATTTATTATTAATTGATTACAGGAAGAAAATTTCGAAGATGCTTTAACCAAATTTTCAACGGCACTTCAAAACATCGGTTTTAAACCATATCTTAGCTACAACGTAGCCCTTTGTCACTATAGATTAAAAGAATACGGTCCTGCATTAAAATATTGCGGTAATTATTATCATATACTAAAATGATTAATTAATAATAAATGTTTTTGTGATTGTATAAAGCTGAAATAATCGAAAGAGGTATACGAGATCACCCTGAATTAAGTGTAGGGATGCAAACTGAAGGGATTGAAGTGCGTTCGGTAGGAAATACATTGACTTTACATGAAACTGCTTTAACTGAAGCTTTCAATTTGAAAGCTGCTATTGAGTATCAATTAAAAAATAGTAAGATTTAGTAGTTAATCTAAAGACATTTGTTTTATTGTGGTTTATAAATATTTTTTAGTTGAAGCAGCCCGAGAAGCGCTAACAGATATGCCGCCAAGAGCTGAATACGAATTAGATGCCGTAACATTGCATAATCAAGCTTTAATGAATGTTGAACAAAATCCAGTAGAAGCATTTGAGAAACTCCAATTTCTTCTCCAACAAAATCCGTTTCCCCCAGAAACTTTTGCTAATTTATTATTATTGTTTTGTCAATATGAATGTTACGATTTAGCCGCTGATATTTTGGCGGAAAATGCTCATTTAACATACAAATATCTCACTCCGGTGAGTGTTTTATTTATTTATTTTATATTTACGTTAATTACAACTACCTTTATGTTAAAGTACCTCTATGATTTCCTGGATGCAATAATAACTCAACAAACATCTCCTGGTGAAGCCTATCAAAAACTTGACGATTTATCTAATCGCCATACGGAACAATTACGCAAATTAACCAAACAAGTTCAAGAGCATAGAAACAGCGGTGACACCGATTTGGTAAAGAAAACCGTGCTCGAGTACGAAGCTTGTTTAGAAAGATACATTCCAGTTCTAATGTCTCAAGCTAAAATTTATTGGGAAGTCGAAAATTATGCACAAGTTGAAAAAATATTTAGGAAAAGCGTTGAGTTTTGCAACGACAACGATATTTGGCGGTTAAATGTCGCTCACGTTTTGTTTATGCAAGAAAATAAGTTTAAGGAAGCTACAGGATTTTATGAACCGATTGTTAAAAAAAATTATTCAGATGTATTTTCTTTATTTTTTTAAAAGTATTTAATAATTAAAACAATTTTTTTTGTGTTAGATTTTAAATGTAAGCGCAATCGTTTTGGCTAATTTATGCGTTTCTTATATTATGACGTCTCAAAACGAAGAAGCTGAAGAGTTGATGAGAGCCATTGAGAAAGAGGAGGACCAATTAGCTTTCGAAGAACCCGATAAAAAATATTTTCATCTTTGTATTGTTAATTTAGTTATAGGGTGAGTTAATATTTATGAGAATGAGTTATTAATTAATATTTATGGCGTTTGTTTGTTACAGGACTTTGTATTGTTCTAAAGGTAACTATGAATTTGGTATTTCAAGAATTATGAAATCTTTAGAACCTTATAATAAAAAGTTAGGAACTGATACTTGGTACTATACGAAACGATGTTTTTTAAATTTAATTGAGAATTTGGCTAAGCACATGATAGTACTTAGAGATGGAATTATTGAAGAATGTATCCAATTTTTGGAAAATTGCGAATGTGAGTACACTAATTTAAAATTAAAATAAAGTTAATAAATTTGTTTTTGCAGTGTATGGAAAGAACGTTAAAACAATCGCTTATTCTCCATTTTCCGAAGAAATCGACCAATTCAACGGTCAACAAACCGTAACTTACGAAGCGAGATTGTTAAAAACGCTTCTCTTAAAACTACAAGATTATTAATTCGAAACTTAATCTAGATTTAATTAGCGATTATTTTAAAAATAAAGAATGACGAAGATATTATTTATTGCGTGAAAATTTTGTATCCTTTTTTCATGTAATGAATTAAATTGTGTATTGAAAAAGAGATGTCAATTTAATTACTTCGTAACTAATAAAATGAGTACAAAAACGCAGTTCTCGCGTGAACTCATTTTTACGTTGACGCAAGTACATTACCTGTCCGCGTAAGAATTTTATAAAAGCTATATTGTAGAATAATAATATTCGCGTAAGCGGCAGCCTTTTACCGTTAAATCTAATCTATTGAAAACGGAAACAAAACCGTCAACCGCAGGATAAGCGGTAATCGCCAACAAGCCAGGAGCGGGTAAAAATTGAATGGACTCAACGTCCGGAATTAAATTCTCTTTCGATCCTTTCGGTTATGTCAACAAAATATTTTTATTTTGGCATCGGTTTTCATTCTATTCTTACATTTTCCAAGAGATATAGGTTTTTAAACTGCAACTTTTACTTAACAATATGACTTACCGCTTAGATTTCATAGTAAAAACTATGTATTAATTAAGTTTGTATTAACTATAAAAATCTCGATGTCGATTTTATTATAAAGGCTGTAATTTATATTTTCAGGATATCACGTTCTTGGGAAATTAATCATTAATGTTGCAACGTTCATATAAAAAATTAACGCATTTTCAAGGTTGTCCGAAATTGCCCTAAGCTACTTCAAAAATAATCTTGAGGTACATTTATCTCTTTAGAGTTGTATGCATTAATACGTCTAGTTTGAAAGAAATTATTCAATGTGACTTCCAAAGATTACAATTCTCTTTTGAAAGAAATTCGAATATTAAACGATAAAACATCCGAACCTGGTAGATGTATAAAATGGACCGATATCAAGGAGATTTAAGGGTAAGAAACATAATAACATCCTTAATACAATTTTATAATGTTTATAAATATTTTAGATTTATAACGCGACAAAAGATATTTAAACTAGTTCAAATTACAAGACGTGTACAGATCTATATGGATATTATCAAGATTTTTATATGAAACTAAGATTTTTTTGGAAATTTTTAACCCCTACGATTTCGTTAAAATGATAACGTTCGAGTATTAAATACTTATCAACAGAATCGAACATGCATAAACATTTTAAAAAACTTTGTCTTTGCTGAATGTTTTCTTAAACATGTTTGGACACTTTTTGATAATTACGGAAATTCTTAGAAGTATATGGGCATTAGTAAGCTCTTGGAGACTTTTTGATATCATTGCGTGTCTTCTAGAAGGCTGTAGGTGTATATGGAAAGCGTTTAGACATATTTTGACAATTATGGAAATTCTTAGAAATGTCTAGGTGACTTGGGAAATCATTAGTAAGCTCGTGGAGTCTTATTGACATCATTGAATGTGTTCTAAAAATCTTCAAATGTACCTGGAACGTGTTTATACACTGTTTGATAATTATGGAAATTGTTAGAATTATTTGGGTAACTGTGGATATCATTAATAAGTTTTTAGGGAGTTATTGACATCTATAAGTGTCCTCTGGAGATCGTTAAAAATGTTCAGAAAGCGTTTGGATACTTTTTGATAAATATGGAAATTCTTGGAAGTATATAGGCAACTTGAGTAGTCATTTGTAAGCTCTTGGAGACTTTTTGATTTCATTGCGTGTCTTCTAGAAGGCTATAGGTGTATATGGAAAGCGTTTAGACGTATTTTGACAATTAAGGAAATTCTTAGAAATGTCTAGGTAACTTGGGAAATCATTAGTAAGCTCGTGGAGTCTTATTGACATCATTGGGTATGTTCTAAAAATCTTCAAATGTACCTGGAACGTGTTTATACACTGTTTGATAATTATGGAAATTGTTAGAATTATTTGGGTAACTGTGGATATCATTAATAAGTATTTAGGGAGTTTTTGACATCTATAAGTGCCCTCTGGAGATCGTTAAAAATGTTCAGAAAGCGTTTGGATACTTTTTGATAAATATGGAAATTCTTAGAAGTATATAGGCAACTTGAAAAGTCATTTGTAAGCTCTTAGATTCTTTTTGATATCATTGAGTGTCTATATGTGAGTTTATATATATATTGACAATTAGGGAAATTCTTAAAAATGTCTAGGTAACTTGGGAAATCATTAGTAAGCTCCTGGAGTCTTATTGACATCATTGAGTGTCTTGTACCTGGAACGCGTTTAGAGACTGTTTGATAATTATGGAAGTGTTAGGGTAACTGGGGAAATCATTAAGAGGCTTCTATGGACTTTTTAACGTCTATAGGTGTCTTCAGGAAATCTATAAAAATGGGCAGACACTTTTTGATGATTATGAAATTTCTTTGAAATGTCTGGGTAACTTGGAAAATCATTAATACAGTTCTATATATTTTTTGACATCATTTTTCTATATTGCAGTAAGAATAAAACACGGTAATATTTTCTGAATAACTTTATTAATAACTCTAATTCAATTTTTATTTTGTTAATACTAGTTATAAATCACTAAATCGCTTTATTTTTTTTAGAATTAAAAGGATAAAAGAAAACAAGAAGAATATTTGATTATTGGCACATTTATTTGATATATTTTATTTGAAATGCTTTGCAGTTTAAAATAGTACACTCAGCTTTTGCAATACATTCAGAAGTGGGCTAGTAAAAGAGGGGTAATCTAATAGATAAAATGTTCAAAGAGAATTGAACTAAAAGTGATTGTCTACGGGAAAACGGGAAAGGTATGTGCTCTACTAGTAGTGTTCTTATTCAGCGATGTCAGTCCTCATCTGCGAATCGGAACCCATTCGTTCAAAGTTGACTCATTGACTTGGAAGTCCTGTAACACAAATTGATACATATAAGGAACGAAAGATTGCCCCCTCTTCATATATTTCAATTCTGGGAAAGGTGCCATTACCATAATAGATTTTTCACCCGGAAGCTATCGTTCAAAATCTCTTTGTTATTCCAATCTAGTACTCAACTCCCCCTTTTTTAAAGAAAAGAACGCGTAAAAAAAACGAAAAACAAAGAGGAGGAATAAAAAATAGTCTTAAAGGCTATTCAAAACGTGACGGTTTCGATGTGAAAATGGAAATTCCGATTACGAGACGGGAAATTGGTTTTCCAAATTGCCGCAACCGAATAAAAAAGCATGCATATGTTATTGTATTGAAATGCAATAACGTTCTGACAGATGTTGCCCTTGTTTTATCGCGAAATTAGGAGATTAAAAGGTATTTCGTGTCGCGTGTCAAGCCCCCCTATTAATCATTCGATATCGTTTAATATGTGTGCGAGGAGGATACGATCAGATCCGATGTGTGGCATTTGTGCTATGAAGTTAATTAGACCTGATTAGTTCGGTTGTACCAACCGAATGTTGATTGCTATTGATATGGTTTTATAACTATGTTGAGAGAAAAGCCACTACTAGATTCAAGTCGTTAGCAAAGAGAAGTAATTGGGAATAGTTGTAATTTGTTTATCCAGCTTGCTTATATTTATAATCATCAAACTTTGTCTCAACATTAAAGAACTACAAGCAAGCGTTTGTTATCTTAATTATGTAAGAGGAGATTAATATAAATGATTTATAGCGAAATAACTGCTTTTCTGATAACACATGGGATGTTATCATCGAACCGCAAAAGGAGAAATTTTCTGAGAATTGCTCATTACCGCAATAACCGAATAAAAAAATTTCCTAATACATTTAGACCAAAAGAAGATATTTTCTGACTTTATAATTTTAGATTTTTTCTATTTTTATATTATCTCTGTGTGTTTGATAAAACGATTCTGAATCTTAAAATAAGCATTCTCGGATTTCAGAGACTTGAGTGCGTTCAGCTTAATCTGCAATTACACGGATGTCACCGTCTTTATTACCATGTAAGTCTCTCGTTCCGCGGAGGAACTAATAAGGCGGACGTGAGATTTACATTGCGCATTTTGCATTTTAAATTTTTTTTAAGACTTTTCTTGGGATTCCCCTTCTTAAGAAGTTAGAATAAATGTGTCTTTCCCACTGGATCTCTGGACTACTTCAAAACTTGAATATACGATGATATGAAACTATTCACTTACAATGATAATGACACTTGCACTTTGTGTACTGCTTTGAACATGATGGCGATGTGGTGTGATAGATTTGGAGTCTGGAGCCAAGCTTACAAAATCCATCAGAGATCTCTCAATATGTAGCACCTTTCTAAGTATGAAGCAAGAATTGCATATATTGCAGTAAAATCGGGCATCTTACTTGGGAATCTTTGTCATGTCTCCAAGAAGCATTTCTAAGAAGCATCTTTAAATTAAAGGCATCTTTAGGTTTATGGAGATGTTTGAGAATTTCTGAGACTTTTCTTCAGGAAGCATCAAAACATCTACAGATATTGAACTAAAACAATGACTAGTATTATCACTAGAACCAACACTTGACCTAGATCGAGATCAGCTAAGCCACCGAAATCAAATCTGACAATTAGGTTAATGACAGACTGCGGAGGATCACAGAAAAAACAAACATCATTGTTCTACCAGTAGACCATCGTTCTAACAACCACTATGGTCATGAACAGGAAAGAAAGCAATGACAAGCTACCTACAAGAAAATTAAGGAGGACTCAACCGAGAAGATAGTAAAGAAATGAGAGAATTGGTGAAATCTACAGAAATTTTAGCAGAACAACTGAGAAGTTTGGTCAGTATTCAACGAGCAATACGAAGGGATAACCATGGAATCACCAAATTAATCGCCAATTTCTACATGGATATGTTTTAAGAAGAAGCGTAAAGGAAGAGTCCGTGGAAACCAAAATTATGGCTCCAGGAGTTCCTAGACCACCTGAATTCTCAACACACTATGAATAAATTTACCATGAAAACGGAAGCTGCAAAACAGTTATCTTTTGTGGAGCCACTAAGCAGACAGAGTATCAAAATATCTATAGATATTGAACTAAAACTATGACTAATACTAGTATTATCACTAGAAACTCACAGAAAAACCAGACATCATCGTTCTATCAGCAGACAAACGGAATGCCAACCCAACCCAACCTACCGTGGTCATGGACAGAAAATAATACAATGACAAGATGACGAGCCTTTTTAATTCAGCCACCTATAAGAAAACTGAGAAGGACTCAACCGAGAAGATAGTAAAGAAATGAGAAAAATTGTGAAAACTATAGAAATTCCAACAGAACAACAGAGAAGTTTGTTTCCATAGTACCAGTAAGAAACCCGGTACCACCAAGAAAATATAGATTACCTAAAATCCATAATCCAAACTCCATCTACGCCGCTAATTGGCAAAACACCTTACCAAGATTCTGCCTCCTTTAACTCTTTGCGGTACGTAAATATCCCAACAAAATTAACTCTAGAGGTACAAGAAAAAAAATGTACGTGCCAGTTACAACCATTTTTCAAAGTGGGTTAAATTTTGTCCCAGCATACTATAAAGGTCTATTTTTAAGTGGGTTAAATTGTAACCCGGAGTACCTCAAAGAGTTAAGAGTTAAAACAGAATCATAAGCCAGAGATAGCACATGTTTTGTGAAATCAATCAAAAGTATAAAGCTAGATCCCCAGGATATCCTGGTAAGTTTCCATGTGGAATTTCTATTTACCAGAGTGCCAATCAAAGATGCCGTGAAAAATCTTTATTAGAAACGGAAGCCGCAAAACAGTTACCTTTCCTGGATGTTTTGCTCACTAAGAAGACAGAAAGCATGGAACTAGGAGTGTATCGGAAGAAAACGCACACGAACTGATCCACAAGCTTCCTCCAATCACCATCAGCAACAAGTGAGGTCAGTGATCCAAGCCTTGTAGCTGCGAGCAGAAAGGATATGCGACAAAAAGAGTTCAAAGAAGAATTTCTAAGAGATGGACTGCAAAACGACTACAGTAATAGCTGGATTTATCTGCCTTCCTCAAGTTTCAAGACGCCTGAAGAAAAACTAAATTGTTGTACGACACAGTATAGTTAGCAAAATTAGGAACAACGCTCTTCTGATAGCTAAAGACAATCTAACCTCATTAAAGGATGCAGGTCTTTGGCTCCGTTACGTGGCTGATACCTTTGTGTTCTCTCAGGATGGAAAGAAGCGTCTCTAGCAGTTCTTAGACCACCTGAATTTTCAACACACCATGATTAAATTTCTCAGGGAAACGGAAGCTGCAAAACAGTAATCTTTCGTAGATGTTTTGGACACTAAGAAGACATCTATAGATATTAAACTAAAACTATGAGTAATACTAATATTATCAGTAGAAGAGACAGAATCACAGAAAAACCAGACATCATCGGTCTACCAGCAGACGAAGGGAATGCCAACCCAACCCAACCCACCGTGGTCATGGACAGGAAATAATGCAATGACAAGATGACGAGCCATTTGAATCCAGCTACCTACAAGAAAATTAAGGAGGACCCAACCGAGAAACTAATAAGGAAATGAGACAATTGGTGAAAACTTCAGAAATTCCGGCAGAACAACAGAGAACTTTGTTTCCATAGGCCCCAGTACCACCAAGAAATTATGGATTACCTAAAATCCATAATCCAAATGTCCCGCTATGAGGCTAGTTGACACAAGACCCTGCCAAGATTCTGTCTCTTTTTACAGATAAAACAGAATCATATATCAGAGGTTGCACACATTTTGTGGAATGAATCAAAACTATAAAGCTAATCCCCAGGATATCCTGGTAAGGTTCGATGTGGAATCTCTATTAATCAGAGTGCCAATCTAAGATCTCGTGAATGATCTTCGCCAGAAACTCATTCTGGGGTGCTTACCGAAGTAAGCTTCAGGGCTAGTCATCGACATACAGGGTGTTTCACTTAAAAGTCGTAGGCCAAGTATCTCTGGAATGGATTGAGATATTGTAGTTTTGTAAGAAGTTATTGCTAGAGTTCGTAAATGACTTAAATTTCGACAGAGTATAGTCAGCAAAATTAGGAACGCTCTTCTGATAGCTAAAGACAATCTAACCTCATTAAAGGATGCAGGAGTTTATCGGCTATCATGCACTTGTGGGAAGAATTACTGGACGTGACATCGAGTGGTGGATTCATGAGCATGAGAAGGATGCCCGAATATTTACAGAACGTAAACCCATTATTTATTTAAAAGCTTTAGTTTATGAGGATAACCACTTTAAATCAACACCAGTATTTTGTAAGAATGACTCTTTTTTGAATAATACCATTATTACACTCAATTTTGTAATTTCATTTTATCGATTTCTAGTAATCTTGATAATTTATATTACTGTAGTCATGAATCAAATGAGAATGAGTAACAAATTTTTAGCTAATGAAGAACATTTGCAAAAGATCGAAGTTTATTATCTCGAATGTGGAGTATTCTGCCATTTCTCTGGTTTGATGAGGACAAAGATTATGGGCATTACTTTATAGATGCATGAGTCTATACTTACAATAAGGTAAAGTAAGTTTAGTGATATTAATGTTTTTGTGCCAAATATGTGTATTTCTTTGCCCTTGCATAAAGATAAGATACAATTGATTCCAAAAACGAATCATCTAACCCCAGCAATTCTAGCCTAATCGTATCAAAGGCACAATTGAAATCAAGCAGAACTAAAAGTCCCCTCACATCCATGAAAAGCTAATATTATCAATTATGTAAGTTGGGATGTTGACTATGACTATATAATATATTGTATGAGATTGCGCTTGAATGATGCGCTTCTACATTATCTCGAGTTTGGAGTGTTCTGCTACTTCTCTGGAATGGTACTTAGAATTAGGTAAAGCAAGGTTAATGGTATTAATGTTATTGTGCCAAATATGTGGATCTCTTTGTCCTTGCATAAAGATAACAATCCCAGCAATTCTAGCCTAATCGTATCAAAGGCACAATTGAAATCAAGCAGAACTAAAACTCCCCTCACATTCATGAAAAGCTAATATTATCAGTTATGTAAATTGGGATATGAGATTGCACTTGAATGATGCACTTCTACGTTATCTCGAGCATGGAGTGTTCTGCACATCCATGAAAAGATATTATCAGTTATGTAAGTTGGTATGTTGACTATGTTGTATTCAAAAGTAAAGGGATGCAAATATTTTAAGAACTAAATTAATATCCTTAATTTTACTAAACTTAATTTCATACCTGACCTTCATAATCGGGTGCCTGGAAATTGAATCCATCATCAGCACGTTTTCCAAATCTGGAACAAATAAAAAATTGAATTATCAGTCAAGAAGATAATTAAAAATAAGCTCAGTACATAACTAATTACGTGATTTAAAAATAATAATAATAATTACGTGATAATTAGAGAAACTATTGATGTGTACTAATTAGTAGGTCTAAATAGGAGTAGTGTTTAAATTGATTTTTTTTTAATTTAGAAAGAAGAGACCAAAAATCAAAGAAAATCTCGCTCACCTTGGTCTCGATTTTTCGGCGTACAGCTTATCAAGATTCTGTAGCCTAAGCATGTTGATAGCGCGTTGAACTTTCGGTTCCGTGATCGATCTGGTCGATTTTGTTGAATCGCTACGCAAACTAAATAATAACGAGATATAAACCAAATCGAACGATCAATTTAAAACGTTTAAAACTTATTTATTGGTGATGTAAAGGTTTGAGCCAAGCCTCCATAATCCTCTATAAAATGTTTAGCATCAACGATGCGGAAAAGTTATGTATATACGAAAATGTCGCTCGAAAAAGATTGATGGATGGTTTTCTTTTATAAACAGTAGTTTTAATGTAAAAAATAATTAACTCAATGGACTTTACATGTAAAAATTTATCGATTATTGGATTTAACACTTATTATTATAAGGTACTTTCTTGCATAATATTTTAGAATTTACGATACAATTTCTTTTTGTAGAGACCATTTGAACGTACGAAAATCGTAAATCATACTCAGCATCGACGGACTACTTACACATAAACCGAAAGGAAATATACGATAAAATATTTTATATATCATGGAAAATATAGTGATGTATATAATATAATATGAAAACTTTGTTTTGTACTTTTTTGGTATAATCCATCCTAACTAATTAATATTTTGTTTCCCTAAGATTTTTTGTTTATTCTATTTTTAAATCATGAATGAATTTTTTCATTGGAATTGTAGAAAGAAATTCACCGTGACCCCGGAAATTTTAATATTACCGGAGATGAAGCTCGTCCCATTTTCGTTCGCACTTAAGAAATAAACCGAAAATGAAATGTCAAGGAATCGGATTTTAATAGCGGAATGTCTACAGTTGTCTTAATCGGTAATCTTACCTTGGTCTCGCAACCGCAGCGTATTTCCTCTCCAAATCCAACAATGTTTTCAACATGTCCCCGTCATGATAACTGGGGGCTGCATTCGTACCAATTCCTTCTAAGATTACCAACATCGCGATTAGAGATACACAGTAAAATTGGAGCCACTTCATTGTTATTATTTCTTTTTGGGTTTCTTTGGTGTAGTTTAAATGAATATTCTGAAATTAAAATTTAATTTTTTCAGGTTTGAAGATGGATTAAGGATATATGATACATAAAAACATTAAGTGTCCTACATTTAACCATTATCGTTTTAGAAAATATTTTTTAAATAGATTGCAAGGTTTTATAGAGATGTTTTATGATTTATAGAGGATTATTGATCTCGAGTTAAAGAGGAATGTTTATTATTAAATATTTATTATTTAATATAAAAATATTTAATATCTTCTAACATTTTATCTATCTAAAATATTGCAAGAATTTGTTAGACACAACATTATTTATTACCAAAAATAGACGAAAAAGCTAAATGTTGATACAAAGTTAAAAAGCATTCCTGTTTAGCCGTCTTCAGACGCACTGTTGACAAAAATAGATGCTGCGTCTGGAATAGTTGATAGTACCGATGGAAGACTACATATTACATTAACTAAATATTGTCACCAGAACACTTATTATTGTCGGCAGAAGGCTAAATCTGTTGCAGAACATCAGACACTGCCGATACAAGACTAGATATTGTTTCTAGAAAACTAGATATTGTCACCAGAACTCGAAATATTGCTCTCAGACGATTGGATACTGCTTACAAAAGGCTAGATATTAGATGTAAAAGACTAAATATTGAAGTAAAAAGAATAGAAACTGCTCCCAGAAGACTAGATACTCTTGATATATTACTACAAAACGTCTCAAGACGTACGGCTAAGTCCGAAACCTTTTAGATCTAGTGTTAGTACTACTCCATTAAAAATATACAACAATCTAGCGCTGAATAGCAACTAAAAGTAAAGCTAATACTGGTACTAGTCTTCAGGCGCACGGTTAAACCCGAAAATATCAAGTTGTAGGTCTGGTGTTAGTACTAGTTTTAGGTCAATAAGAATATACAACCATGGATACAGTGAGAAACAAACTCATAAAGTTGTGCTGATGAGAATGGTCTACAGGCCCAGAAGCTTAACATGGAAGTGTCAACCTCCAAAACAAAAAGCATGGTAATTGCTAGGGAACCACGACGAGGCAAGCTAGATCTGAAAAGAATAATCGAACAAGTACCTGAACCTAAGTATTTAGGCGTAATAATCTCACCATATGGAAACTTGAAAGAGAGTGTGAAAGATTAGATGAGTGAAAAAATGTGGAAAAATATTTGGATGACAACTGCAAAAGCAAAGTGAGGATATACAAGGCATGTGTTAGACCTGTGATGACATAACACGGCGGAAATTCTGAAACCAAAAGGATGGCACGTACAAACGGGATCAGAGTGTTGAGAGCAATAACAGGGAACACGTTAAAGAAGGAACCCATCTCATTAAAGTAATAAGATCAGAGAAGAATACCAAGTGAAAGATGTAGTAAGATGGATCTGAGGGAAGAAAAGATTTTGGAATGAACATGTGTCACGGATAGCGAATTATAGATTGGTAAAAATCGCTAGAAATGCAAAGCAGGCGTTCAAACGATCTCCGGGAAGGCCGCCGATGCGATGGAAGAATAGTTAGACTTTAATATCGCAGGAACGAGAACGAGAGGAGGAGTAAGATGGATGAAACAAGCTACTAGCTTTCGCAAAGAAGAAGAAGGAGAAGACAACAACCTAACGCTGAATAACAACTAAAATTAGAGCTAATACTAGCACTACAACTAGAAACATTCGGGTTTAGTATATAGTGCGTCTTTTAAGACAGCTAAGCCTGAATGTTGCAAAACAGAAAAATTAAATCTTTACTAAGTGAATGTAGAAAGTTAAAAAGCCAGAAAAATTATTATTATTAATTTTGAGTTGACATGATGATCATTTTTATGAGTACTTGGGGTACAATTGAGTCTATGCACCCAAAATTATTTTGGGTTGGGTTGGGTTGGTCTTTAAAAGGCATCATAGAGCGACCGTCATCATACCATATTAACAGACTTTTTATGCCCTAAGATAACAAAGGAAGATTTTGCCGATATTTGGAATCAACAGGATGGCACCACTGTTTACTACCCACTACATAACAAATGTATCAATCGTCGTTTTACACACAATTTTCGAAAAACGCATTCTCAGCCAAAAATAACAATGTTAATTGTCCATTTAAAAGCTGGGTTTCGATTCCGATAGATTATTATTTGTGATAAATAATTAATTACAGACGTTGTGGAATCATTCAGAGACGATTGAGGATTGAAGTTGAAATACACACCGTGCTATTGTAAAACAACCTGAGATCATTAAAATATAATTTTTGACACCTTCGTCTTTTTGCTTTGAATCAAGATTTTAAGATCGGAAAACCTGCTCGTGATATTTATTGTATATGGGGAGGGTGCATAACTGAAAGATGCGCTGATGGTGATTGGTATGCCAAGTCTAGAAATGGAAATTTTTTCTTCAACGACTCACCTCGTTCTGTTCGTCCAGTTGTGTTCGATGAGCGATTGGGGAACTGGCAGAAAAACTGGTATGACTGGACACAAGCATTGATATTTTTACCGAATCGTTACTAGCAACAATTAATATGAAGCAGCGTAAGAAATAAGTTAGCCTCGTTAAATAAACGACATGGCGCATGAAACAAGATTTTTCTCGTAAAATGATGCGTATGATGGGATTGCAGAATTATCTGATTTCGAGAAAGGTATTACAGAAATGGTATTCTGAAGAAGCAATCTAGCGAGATGAATTAGCTTAAATCGCCACTGGCCTATGACGAAGAAGTGAATGGTGAGCGATGATTGTCAAAATGTTCATGTTGTTTGTCTTAATATGTCATTTTGAATGTTCAAATCTTCAAATGTTCACAACAACACTAATGACTAATGATATAAGAGAACACAATAAACCAATAAGGTATAGAAAGGTTCCTTACATTTCTAACTTAAGTGAAAAAATCTTTTTTGTTCAAATGTTCACAACAACATTAATGAGAAACAAACTCTAGAACTCTAGACCTAGAACTAAAAAGTTTCGGGTTTAGCCGTGCGTCTCTTAAGACGGTTAAACCCGAATGTTCCATAACAGACAAATTAAATCTTTGCAATCAAAACTGTTAAGAGATAATCGACACTTAAAATTTTCTTGTCGACCTGTTATAAAATTTGAATGATAAATATTAATTTGAATAATTAAAATGCTTAATTACGTGTTACACAAAAAATATGGTATTATAACGGATAAGAGATTATATTAAAACACTTTATCAATTAATTAAGACTCAAACGTTTACTAATACACCAAAAATTCCACAGTTGCTTTTTCTAGGCAAATTTTATTCTTAACAATACTACATTCTTGTGCTTTTCCTCTTAGATGCGTTAATATCAAAAAAAAATGAAAATTTGGTGTTGAATTTTCAAATTCTTAATGGTAACACTCGGGAAACGGGGCATATTGAAAAAACACTTTTAGAACAAAAATTGTAGCAAATTCTATTCTTAACAATATTGCTCTCTTACACTTTTGCTGTTAGATGCGTCAATATCAAGCAAAATACGAAAATATGAAAATTGGATGAATTTGTTGAATTTTCAACTTCTTAATGGTAACACTAAAGAAACGGGGCATTTTCAAAAAGATCTTTTAGAACAAAAGTTGTAGCAAATTTTATTCTTAACAGCATTGCTCTCTTGCACTTTTGCTCTTTGATGCGTCAATAACAAGAAAAATACGAAAATATGAGAATTGGATGAATTTGTTGTTTTACAAGTTGTTAATAGTAACATTGGGGAATTGAAGCATATTATAAAAAAACTTTTGGATCAATATTTGTTGCAAATTTTATTCTTAACAATATTGCTCTCTTGCACTTTTGCTGTTAGATGCGTCAATATTGAGAAAGATACGAAAATATGAAAATTGTATGAATTTGTTGCATTTTCAAGTTGTTAATGATAACACTCGGGAAATGTAGCATATTGGAAAAATTTTTTAGAACAATAGATGTAGCAAATTCAATTCTTAATAATATTGCTTTCTTACACTTTTGCTCTTAGGTGCATCAATAACAAGAAAAATACGAAAATATGAAAATTGGATGAATTTTCAAGTTCTTAATGGTAACACTCAAGAAACGGGGCATTTTCCATAAAAACTGTTGGAACAATAGTTGTAGCAAATTCTATTCTTAACAATACTACTCTCTTACACTTTTGCTGTTAGATGCGTCAATATGAAGAAAAATACGAAAATATGAAAATTGGATGAATTTTCAAGTTCTTAATGGTAACACTCGGGAAACGGAGCATGTTGTGAACAAACTTTTGGAACAATAGTTATAGCAAATTCTCTTCTTAACAATATTGCTCTCTTACACTTTTGCTCTCAGATGCGTCAATATCCAGCAAAATACGACAATATGAAAATTGGATGAATTTGTTGAATTTTCAAGTTCTTAATGGTAACACTCGGGAAACGGAGCATGTTGTGAACAAACTTTTGAAACAATAGTTATAGCAAATTCTCTTCTTAACAATATTGCTCTCTTACACTTTTGCTCTCAGATGCGTCAATATCCAGCAAAATACGACAATATGAAAATTGGATGAATTTGTTGAATTTTCAAGTTCTTAATGGTAACACTCGAGAAACGGGGCATTTTCCAAAAAAACATTTGGAACAAAAATTGTGGCAAATTTTATTCTTATCAACATTGCTCTCTTGCACTTTTGCTCTTTGATGCGTCAATAATAAGAAAAATACGAAAATATGAAAATTGGATGAATTTGTAGAATTTCTAGTTGGTAATGGTAACACTTGAGAATCGGAGCATCGTGCAAACAAACTTTTGGAACAAAAATTGTAGCAAATTTTATTCTTAACAACATTGCTCTCTTGCACTTTTGCTCTTAAATGCGCCTATATCAAGAAAAATACGGAAATATGAAAATTGGATGAATTTGTTGCTATTTCAAGTTATTAATGGCAACATTGGGGAATCGAAGCATATTATAAAAAAAATTTTCGATCAATATTTGTTGCAAATTTTATTCTTAACAATATTGCTCTCTTGCACTTTTACTCTTAGATGCGTCAATATTGAGAAAGATACGAAAATATGAAAATTGTATGAATTTCTTACCTTTTCAAGTTGTTAATAGTGATATTCAGGAAATGGAGCATATTCCAAAAAAACTTTTGGAACAATAGTTACAGCAAATTTTATTCTTAACAATACTGTCTTCTTGCGATTTTCCCCTTAGATGCGTCAATATCAAGAAAAATACGGAAATATAAAGATTTGGTGTTGTTAAATTTTCAAGGTCTTAATAGTAACACTCGGGAAATGGGGCATATTGGAAAAGTATTTTTAGAACAAAAGTTGTAGCAAATTCTTAACAATATTACTCTCTTACACTTTTGTTATTAGATGCGTCAATAACAAGAAAAGTACGAAAATATGAAAATTGGATGAATTTGTTGAATTTTCAACTTCTTAACAGTAACACTCAAGAAACGGGGCATTTTCCAAAAAACTTTTAGAACAAAAGTTGTAGCAAATTTTATTCTTAACAACATTGCTCTCTTGCACTTTTGCTCTTTGATGCGTCAATAACAAGAAAAATACGAAAATATGAAAACTGGATGAATTTGTAGAATTTTCAAATTGGTAATTGTAACACTCGGGCAACGGAGTATGTTGCAAACAAACTTTTGGAACAATAGTTGTAGCAAATTCTATTCTTAACAATATTGGTCTAATTCACTTTTGCTCTCAGATGTGTCAATATCGAGAGAAATACGAAAAATGAGAATTGGATGAATTTGTTGTTTTACAAGTTATATTACAAAAGAACTTTTGGATCAATATTTGTTGCAAATTTTATTCTTAACAATATTGCTCTCTTGCACTTTTGCTCTTAGATGCGTCAATATTGAGAAAGATACGAAAATATGAAAATTGTATGAATTTGTTACATTTTCAAGTCGTTAATGCATTTTCAAGTTTGCAATAAATTGCAAACAAACTTTTGGAACGAAAGTTGTAGCAAATTTTACACTTAACAATATTCCTCTCGCTCTTGCTCTAAAGTGAATTTTATGAATTTTGTTACTTTTTCTAACGTTTACTAATACACCAAAAATTACACAGTTAATGTTTATTTATTATTTTTTTATTATCAAATTATGTTTGTTTATTTGAGAACTTACTTCCCCACTAAAAAGATAATAATTATTTCCATTGTTTATTATTGTTGTTAATTAAGCGATTTTATTTTTATAAAAAGCTCATTTATATTTATTATTTCCACACTCAAATAACTGCGACACCTCTCTATGTGGAAATTAAAGTCTCCGCAGGATTCCTTTTTATACGTAATCATTTTTTGAATAATTTTCCACAATAACTCATTAACATTAATTTATTAACAACCTTTATCAAAAAACCATGAAACTTCTTAATGGAATAACTACGTTTTAAACGCTAATCACGACGAAATGGCTCATTAAAACCCAAGTCCCGCTTCCCGTTTTCAAGTATATCGAGAGTTTCGTAACTGAAGTTAAAGTTCCTACGCCTTTTAAAATGCGGATGTTCCAAACGACCACCTGCTCTTTTTTTAGTTCTTATTTTATCACTTTCCTTCTTCAAACATTAATTAAGATTACGTATCAAAGATAATATTTTTTAATTTCCCAACATCGAATATCCGACCATGACCTTACAATGTTACATAAAATCTTACCTTGAACGTATCACGTTTCGTCATTAATTTTCGGCGCCTCATTATTAAGTATTTGTTGTATATTAAGTTTTGAATAGATTAGAAATTATCGTGTACGTAACAAATTAATGAATTTTTCTCAAATTGTTTAAGTCGAAAAGAAAAAAGTTTATCTAAACGACGAGAGAGGTTGTAAACGCGTTGTCAATCTGCATAAATCGCCCCGAGTTGATTTGCATTTGATTTGGAAACCCACTACATTATAAACCTAATTCTATGAATTAATTGAATTAAACCGAAATTTACGTTTAAATTTTAATCAATAAATTGTTTTTAATAACTTCTTAATCTATTATAGTGACTTAGAACTTTATGGAAACTTGCAACTTATTTAAATCTACAATTAATGTTTCAATATTTTAAAAAAATTATTAAAAAATAAATTTATCATTATTTTTTAAAAAAGTTTTTATAAAATGTAACGTAATATCTCAGAAAATGTGCGAAAACCGTTAAAAGCAGATAGAAATTTGACCAGGAATCCACTCACCTGTTGCCTGTAGAGCTTGAATAGAATAGGCACTAGGCACGTCTAAAGTTTCGATGCTTTTATAGCGTTCTGGAACGGATACGCTTGCGTAAAGCTAGGCAGCTTTGCGAAAACGCGCGCAATTGCTTCGAATTGCCACGAATTTTTCTAATTCTTTGAATCAATTCTTAAAAAGACTCGAATCAATTTTCTTAAAAGACAATTATTATTCCTAATAAAATCTTAATATCAATAATATATTATATTAATCTTAATACATTGTTCTAAATTAAAGATACCTAATAAGCACTTTACTTAATGTTAAACATACTGAAGAAATTTAAACTTTGAATCGTTTTTAGTGATAACTTTGAAATTATTTGGAATTACGTAAAATCGGGTACTTACTTTAAATATAGAGATGGCAAAATGTGTATTTTTTTATGGGAATAATAGAAAAGCTGAGAGGGATTTTACTTTAAAAAGTATTATGCATTACAGTGGGTATTCTAAAAGGATGCTGAGAATGGCAAACAATTTGAAAAGCCCTCGAAATAAATCCGCAAATATTGCTGCTATAATCGTAACATATTTATTTTTACTTATTGCTCGTTCTAAGAATTCGTTTCAAAAAGATTCTTTAACGTACCTTGTAGTAATCCGCGTAATTAGCGTAAAATGATGTCTCCGTTACAATTGGAACATTTTATTTATTTTGCTTTGAAATAATTGTGAATAAAATAATACACAATAAATAAATTTATATAAGAAGCTACCTTATTCGAAATCTAGATTATTTAAGTTGATAATGTTTAGTATCAAATTTCATCAACTAAAAAAGCGTTTGGCGTTTTGGATGCCATGTTGCAACCATCTCAGAAACTTGTTCGAAATCAACTCAGATTCAACGTTGACGACACCTCATTAAAAATGAATTTATATATCGTTGATTATTATTTTTGTTAACCACAATAATTTGGCATAAAAAATTAATTCTTCCGGAAAATGGAACACCCTATTTACAAGTTGTTACTGGTAACAGTCGTGAAATGGAGCACATTAGAAAAAAGCTTTTGAAACGAAAGTTGTAGCCAATTTTATTCTTAGCAATATTGTTCTCTTTCACTATTGCTCTTATATGTATAGATATCGAGAAAAATACGAAAATATGATGAATTTCTTGTTTTTCTGAGTTGTTAATGGTAACACTTGAAAAATGGAGCATATTAAAAAAAAGCTTTTGGAACAATAGTTGTAGCAAAATTTATTCTTAACAACATTGCTTTCTTGCATTTTTAACCTCAGATGCGTCAATATCGAGAAAAATACAAAAATATGAAAATTTGATGAATTTGATGCTTTTTCAAGTAGTTAATGGTAACACTCGGGGAACAGAGCATATTACAAAGAAACTTTTGGAACAATAGTTGTAGTAAATTTTACTCTTAACAATATTGCTTTCTTGCACTTTTGCTCTTAGATGCGTCAATATCAAGAAAAATGTGAAAATATGAAAATTGGATGAATTTGTTGCTTTTTCAAAATGTTAATGGTAACACTCGGGAAACACAGCATGTGATAAAAAAACTTTTAGAACAATAGTTGTAGCAAATCTTATTCTTAACAATATTCCCCTCTTTCACTTTTGCTCTCAGATGGGTCAATATTGAGAAAAATACGAAAATATGAATATTGAATGAATTTATTGCTTCTTCTAGTTAACGGTAACACTCGGGAAACGGAGCATTTTCCAAAAAAACATTTAGAACAATAGTTGTAGCAAATTTTATTCTTAACAACATTGCTATCTTGCACTTTTGCTCTTTGATGCGTCAATAACAAGGAAAATACGAAAATATGAAAATTGGATGAATTTGTTGCTTTTTCAAGTTGTTAATGGGTAATTCAAATCATGCGAGAAATGCAGCATATTGTAAAAAAGTCAAAGTATATCGGTACACTATGTTCTATATCGCAGATCTACCGATAAATCGATAGGGTTGGCAACGCTGAGTATTTCTGTAATGAATGTAAAATTGTAAACGAATCCAAACTACCAACAATCGCAGTATCAGTGCTAAAAGATATAATATACTACAAAAATATCACTAAAATCATAACAAACATGAAAAAGAAATCCTATTGGGGTGTTTAAATTATTTAGAACTCAAAGTGTGACGAAATATACAGAAAAGCAGAAACTACCTGGATGTTGGTGACCATGAAGGTGAGTTCTCACAGGTTTAAGATTGGCTTTTCTACGAGGTTAGGTTAAGTTCATTTAGAGTTGCCTTGGATTAAGTACTAATTATAAAGAATTGTGTTGAGGTTTGATTATTTTTTTTTGCAGTTGGATTACTTTATGATTATGTCCTTTTGGGGTTGGGATACCTTGATTTGCAGTTGGATTGAGTGTTGATGGTTTGCGATTGAATTAAACAGTTTTTTTAGAAAAATGCAAGATTAATTTTGATTTTGATATGATGATACATGATGATTATGAAAACAGAATAGTTTTTCAGAAAATTGGACGACTTAGTTTGATTAAGCCGAGGTTAAAACCGACGCGTTAATTTGTGACCATATTGACAAAAAATGAACGATAATCTGCATAAGCCGAGACGCTACATTGATGCCATAAGGAAATAAAAACGGAATAGTTTTCAAGGAAAATGGAGTATTTAGTGTGATTAAGAGGTCGCTTGCGACCGAGGCGCTACATTATTACCATATTGACACAAAAATAGTATAGTTTTCATCAAAAATGGACGGTTCAGCCTGATTAAGCCTAAGGAACTTGCGACCGAGGCGCTACATTGATGTCATAATGACATAAAAACGGAATAGTTTTCACAAAAATGAACGATTGTCTGCCCAGGCCGAGGTTGCTTGCGGCCAATCCGCTGCATTGATACTATAATGTCACAAAAACGGAATAGTTTTCAAGGAAAATGGAGGCTAAGGATGGCCGAGGTCGTTTACGATCGAGGCGCTACATTGTTACCATGTTAACATATATATATATATATTAAAAAATAAAGAAAATAGCGCATCGTATACATATATATTCAACATATTTGATGATTAAACTACAATTGCCGAAAATGTTTATTTTGCACATTTGTACGAAGCTGGCACATGCTTACTATTGGGTAAGGATAGCAAATTATAACAAGTTTAGCCACTTCATCACGCTTAGAGGGAACCTAAAGACGTGATTCAGGTCTACAAGTGTTCTTCGAGAGAAGACATCATGACTATGTTGCAATGATGTCTTAGATATTTTCAACAGACCCCCAAGGAAACTAATTTTTGGAAATCAATCTTCTTCGTTGTCTATGTTATGGCATATCTCATGAAATAATTGAAATAAATGTTCTTTCTTGTAACGTTTTTGTACTTTATACGTTATATTGTGTGATTTAAAAATAATTCCATGGCCTTTTATGCTTTTTAGAAGGTTTTTGAACAAAATTTTGATCTTACAGGGAGCAATCTAGAGTTGATCATGTTTTGTTTTCTCGTTTTGGTATAAATATGATAGCAGACATCTTCAAAAATATGGGAACATAATATCTTAATCTAACGGCAGCGTTGATTAAGTACATTATAGCTTTTCTTGAAAGCTGCTTCAGTGCTTTCCCAGTTATTGGGTTAAACCAAGGTTTTCGGGTTAATTTTTTCTTTTATCTACTAGGTGTTGTTAGTAATTCTTTATAATTTTTTGAAATAGTTTGGTGATCTCGATTTTGTTTTGATTTAAATATTTATTTTAATTGATTTTAATTGGTACGTAGAAACGGAAAATGGACGAGCTTTTAATTATAATAATTATAAAATATTAAAACTATGTTTGCTATTCACGACAAACGAGTGAACTTTAATGACAGGAATAGGACATAAACACACGGTTTTTAATAAAAATGTTATTTACAGGTGAAGAGGTATTTACCCAGAACGGAATTTTTAATATCTATAATACTCACGTTTCAAAATGTACCAAATCTGTACCATACATAAAGAACCATTGTTTGATTTGACTTTGAAATAGGTAATGTGGAAATGTTAAATCGATATAGTTATAAATTATTGAGAAATAAAACTACTCACGGAAATGTCGCAACCAGTATGAAGAATTGGAAGTAGTAAATAACAACGGTTGAAATCTATTAATATTAAGAAATAACACTTCGTAGTGTGTAAAAAAAAAGAGTTATAAGCAATTTTTGCATATAAAAGTGATGAATGAAAAATTCACTCAGAGGTCAAAATGCAGTGTTGCAATAAGAGACTTAAGCATCGTACTCGTACATCGTTTGTTGACTTTTTCGCCAATTTTCGTCCATTATTCAGCCGTCGATTTATCCGTTAGAACGGATAGATTAAATAACGAACAGTTATTGTGTTACATATGCTTTTTTAGATATACAGCAAATTTTTTTATGAATAAGAACTTCCATCGATGCCAATCAACTGAAAAAGTGATAAAGATTGGGATTGAATTTCCAAAGTACATTATATTTTAATGGTTTTAGCTGAAGCTAGAATTGTTTACTTTAGTTAGTCAAATTAATGATTTATGTACTTCCAATCGATACAGAATCGAGTAATGACGAGGATAAGTAAATAATGTGGGTGTCTATCGTGATGCCAAAATTTAATTGAGAGCTGCGTTGCCAACCCTACCAACTTACAATTCTAACCTATTACAGTACACTTCTTTAATTTGTAATTAAATTGTGTTTTTTAACAATGATGATTTAACATAATGATGTAAGCCAAAATTTTCTAGTTCTAGGTCTAATGATTTAGCCATACGCCTTCAAACAGTTTCCAAGAAAAGCTATAAAGATACTTAATCAACGCTGCCATTGGATTAAGATGTGTTCGCAGATTTTGGAAGATGTCTGCAATCATATTTGTACCAAAAGATGTAACATAATCAACTCTTGATTGCTCCCTGTAATATCAAAGTTGTTCAAAAACCCTCTAGAAAGCATAAAATTCATAATTAACGCCGTGGAATTATTTTTAAATCACGCAATATAACATATCAAGTAGAAAAGTCCGT